GATTCAGTTGAAAATTTTCGTCACGATTCAACGCATTGTGCATCAAGGGGATACATTAAAATAGAACATGATCAAAAAATGGAAACAAAAATTCCAGAACACACATCTTAACAATCAGCAAAATGATGCAATATTAATTTTCAAGAAAAAAGAGCCTTCCAAATTATTTTACAATTTTCTCCGTTTAATAACGTACTCTATTACACGGTCGCTTATCAAAATCACTTCGAGATCGCGTGTCTCTTGCCTACACGGAATTGGAAGCCGCGGCTGCTCGCCAACACTAATTACACGGTACTCGAGCCGGGGAAAAAATAAAAAAAGATCCTGAGGAGCTTATTTCGTTCGTCGGGACGGTGAATCAGCGCAGCTGCTCAAGGCTCCACGGTCGCGACGGATTCGCGGACGAGCAATAAAAGATGCACTCGATCGGCCGGATGCACGAATCGAATTCGCGAATGAATATCTTCATCTGCCCCCGAGCTGTGACTCACTGCGACATAACTTTACACTTACGGTATTCGAAGCTGCCGCCATTTTGTATTTTGACGCGTTGAATACCGTGGAGTTCACCGGTGAGCCCCGATCAAATTTAATTACTATAATTCATTCAATTAACTCGTTGTGTGAAAATGATGAAATGCGATTTGTGATTTGATTTTGTAAATTATTTCATAGATCGTAATTAAAATAATTTTCTTATTTTCCTAAATAAATTGAAATGAAGCTTGAATTTTTGAGATTTTTCTTGTAACAGTCGTGTCTACGTTGTTGTAATGTATATTTTAAGGAATGCTACCTAATGTGGTGACATTCAATTAAATTCATTTGATTAATTATTCATGAAATAATTCACTTGCATAGTTTGATAATATACGTTTTTTATTTCGAGTATTCTGCTCTGTGAAATCGTGCGGCATTCAACGTGTTAACGTGCATTCCTGAACACTGCGTCTGCGTGCACGACGAACGACGTTTTACTAACGCGAATGAGTGGGCAGTGATTCATAAGGAGTCACGTTTTGCGGACTTGGTTAACAGTGGAGATAATGAGACGTCATTCAGATATTGAAGTTGTGATTAGAGTTGCCAGTTGCGGAAATAGAATGTGGCTTGTAATTAATAGTTTGTATTTGTTTTCCGATTATAAGGTGTATTGTGGGTTTGCATGTTAGAAGAGTATCGCAATATAAAGTTAATATTGTAACATTAAATGTTATTGATAATAATAGATAGTCGAAATATTATAGGATTTACTGTAGCTTTTCAAATATTACAGAACTTGGTTATTGGAAGACTTAGACATTAAGGTACTTAAATGTTACAAGAACTCGCATATTAGCCAAGTATTAAAGTATTCGAATAGTGGGTTCAAATATTAAAATATTCGAATATTAATATACTGGAATATTAAAATATTTAGATATTCAAATGGATATTATAATATTTCGATATTCAAATAGATATTAAAATATTTCGATACTCAAATAGTAGAATATTAAAATACTTGAATGTTTAAATGTTTGGATATCAAATACTAGAATATTAAAGTAGTTACATATTTAAATACTTGGATATCAAATACCAGAATATCAAAATACTTAAACATTTAAGTATTTGAATACCAAATACATTTAAACATTTCGATATCGAATATTAGAATATTAAAATATCTGCATATTAAAGTATTCGCATGTCAACGAACTACGATACTAAAGCATTCTAATAATGACTAATTGAATACTAGTATCTCTACTATGATTCTAAGAACCTTAGACCCGTTTAAAATTCGACAAACCGCCCAAACCGATACGTTTCATGCGTTCTTGAACTACGAACGGGACAAACGATGATTCCCGGGGGGATTGACCCGGCCGATGACAGTACTGCGGTAAGATACTGTTATTTAACTGCGTCCAGTGAAGAGAATTAATATTCCGGCGAATAGAACGCGCGGCGCGTACGTGTTTCCGTTTTCCTTGTTTCTCGCTCGATCGAGAATTACCAGAACTTTAATCCGTCATTTCAGATACCCGCCATTTATTTTCTAACATTAAATCAAGCGAAATAAAAATTGTATTCGAAGTAAAACAAACTCTCTAAATTACTACATCTCAATTACTCTAAATTACACCACACAAATGAATAAATTTCGTCAAATTCTACAATTTACCCGTAACATTCACCAAAATAGCACTCCACTTAAAGACATTATTAATACTTAAATACAACAATTTAAAAACCACGAATATCCTAAATATTTTTCTAAACACTTCAAAATCTCTGTTTAAACCTGGATAAATCAATATTCATCTTTCCAAATTACCAAATAATACAGAAACAAAGGAAACTAGCTTCAAATTTCGTAAAAAATAAGTAGCCGTGATCCGTTTGTGGTCAGACGCACTTCGTCGCGAAACGATGATGCCCTAATAGACAAAAAAACGCAGTGCAAACGGCAAGATAGACGGCTAATGACAAAAGATAAATGGAATCTGCGGAAACGACTGTTTCGTAACGTGACAATGTTCACCGTTTGCATTATTAATGGACTGAAATGACAGTGTTCACGTTGTTTGTACATAAGTTAACCGAGAGAAGCAGAATTCTTTTTTCTCTTATCGCCGAGAGGCTGAGATCATCGGAAGAATTATTTTGCTTTGTATATACCTAACCCACCGATGTATTTCGAGGATGCGTTTCATATGAAAACTTATTGTTCCGTTGCAGAACTACCTCTCACAATTCGGCTACTTGCAACCAATAAATCCGACGAGTGGCGGCATTATATCCAAGGACTCGTTGTCCAAGGCGGTCGCCGAATTCCAGGCCTTCGCGGGATTGAATATAACAGGTGAGCACGCGACAGGTTGCAACTGGCGATCCCCCGTGATTCACTATTCCGTGGATGTTACGCGGAACGCTATCAGTCACATGTTTTCCGCTTTGGTAGATATTATATATAGGGTGGACCGCGAACCGTGGTCACCTTAACACATTCGCTACCAGCACTTATTTCAGTGACGGTCTCCTCAATTATAATATTTTCTTCAATCCACTAAATCTTCCAAACAAAATATTAGAAAAATGAAACTGAAACGAGTCGTTGAGTTCCTAAATATAATGTCGTAGTTTATAATTTCTAGTAACAATATCTATAGGACTACTTTCATTTTCATTGTATAAAATATAGGATTATGGCCATTACAAATATGTGACGCTGGTAGCGAACGTGTTAACCCTTGTGCCAAAATTTGTCTAAAAAGTGCCAGCGACTCTTTATTTTTAATAGCGATAAATACAACAGAAAATATGAACAATTCCATTGACGAATATATTTAGCGCTATCAAAAATAAAGAGTCGCTGAGACAGACGTTGGCACTTTTTGGAAAAATTGTCGGCATCGCTCGCAGCGACGTTGACACTCTACGGGTCGCTCAGAAGCCAATGTGATTAAACCCACTTTTTTATATTTTCTGATTTTTGTAAATTTTAATGGAATAAATAATATTCTTTTTAGTTATTAAAGAATTTACTCGTTTTCTCGTTGTTTCTAGATTAGAAAGCCCTTCTTTTTGTAACTTGTGAATATGTTGTATAACGATTTCGAAAGTCAAAACGTTAATTTTCTCAATTTTTATTATCTGGGCTTAATTTTAATAACTCTAGGAAAAAAGGATTGATAAAAAATTTGGTAGAATCATTTTAAATCATCATTTTTTTGTGAATGATCAGATTTCCGTTTGTAACATCGATTTTTAACGTTGCTTTTGTAACGTTCAATAAAACGACATTAAGGAAAGAGAAGAAGAGGGTAAAGCTCGCAAATCTCGCGATCATCGTGATCAATTATACTTTATTTACGTCCTTGCGATGGCCAGGTCGTATTATATTTAACCATAATTGAGTCTAATGGTTCCCGTGGGTGCTCGATTCGTGAATCATTCAGTAGATTTACTCATTCAGTGTCCCGCTGTTGTCTGACTCACCTAATCTTACACTGGGCAGCATCAAATTTACTGGACCGATATAACTGATAATCGCTAGTAGCGTGATAATAAGATTCAAAACAGAAATCAGTCAATATAAATATCACTCGATTCCTCTGAGTTAAAATTAAATATTGCTTTCACGTTGTCAAATTCTGTTCACCTTCAGACTACGAGCACACAGAACAAACATGGAATTCTTTCGTTCTAAAGATTCTACCGAAAATTTGTCAAAACAACGTCAAGTTACACTTTCGAGCAGTATTTGGTTCATATTTTAGTTTAGACCTAAGAAATTGAAATCCAAATTTAACCTATATTTTGAATTTGAAATCTAAATTTAATCTACAGTCTGAATTTAAATCTAAGTTTAATGTATATTTTGAATTTGAAATACAAAAATAGAAATCTAAATTTAGTCTACAGTTTGAATTTAAATCTAAATGTAATCTATATTTCAAATTTCAAATCTAAAAATTGAAGTAGCTATTTAACCTATATTTCAAATTTCAAATCTAAAAATTGAAATCTCTATTTAATCTGTATTTCAAATTTCAAATCTAAAAATTAAAGTCTCTATTTAACCTATATTTCAAATGTCAAATCTAAAAATTGAAATCTACATTTTCAATTTTCTAACGAAAGAAACATTATCGAAGAAATTTCTTTAAAAAAAATGCAAGAATATTGAAATCTTTTACTTTTCTATGAATGAGACTTCCAACAAAAAATGGAGAACGTGTGACTTAAGGGCGTTCTACCTTACAACCGTAGATATGCGAGCAGGTATCACGCATGGTATCAGAGTCCGATTCCAAAAGTCGTTTCCTATACGTCAAAAGACGCGCGCGTCATACCTGTTCGCGGAAACTATTATCATGCCGGTTGATCGAATCGAGAGAAAATTCTGTTGACAATCGAGCTGCGAATAGAATGCCTGATAAGACGGAATAATCAAGAGATAGAAGATTCTGCTAGCGTTCGTAGTCAGGAAACAGCTTCTTCGTTATTCATTACTGTTTGATCGATCAATGAACGATGTTATCCTTATAGTCTCATTTTCAATTAAAATAAATAGTTGATTACATATATTTATTGTATCTTTTGCATATTAATCCTTTACATTTACAGAAGATACATTCAAATATCGTAAAATATTATACAATCTTTCTTTTGACATTAAAGGTTATGTATGTTTACAATAAAAAAACAATTTCTTTAGTTTACAAGGACACTAAAAAAATATTAGTATGTTCATTCATATGACTAAACAATATTATAGGAAAAAGGAGGAAAATTGGAAATATTAAATCTAAAGGACTACCTCTAACATCTAATAATCATGTACAAATATGTTCAATAAAGATTACCCTGGATACGATACAAAAAGAAAAAATTGGAGTCATAAAACAAACTGTCCATCGAAGTAGACATTCTAAAACCGTAAATATCAAACTATGCAATTCTTTCAGTAATACACGAATATAACCAGAAATTCTTACAAAGAAAATCAAAGGAATCCAAACTATAATCTGCTCCAGCATCTAATTTATCATTATTCCTAGTTACATAACTATCTTCCTAAAACGTATCAAACCAAACCATGCACGAACCACAAGGAAAAACAATTCATACATAGAAGCAGGCGGTGCAAATAACGTATCGAGGCGACCAAACGAAAACAGCAAATACAAAATTCTACGAGCGAGCTGGCAATCGGCGAAGAAGGGATCAACGTAGAAGAAGAAATTGCATCGATTCTAAGAATCGGTTGGATTTCCTCGTCGCCGGCGATGCGCAAGGATAAAAACACGGCTGTTGCACCTTTACTCGCCGGACCGGCTCTGAATAAAGAGCGGATTTTTAAATTTCTAGACCTTGAGGCACCGCGTACGACTGCTACACTCGTCCACGATGAAAACACGCGACGGTGCGCTCGTTTCGAAAAATGGCCGGGGAAAATGGACGGGGGAACGTCAAACAACGTCTGAGTGCTTGATGCGATGTTAAATAATAAATAAAAGGCGAACACGAAAATGTCTGAGTGTCTGTGGAGAATCGTTTAGCGGGTAGAAGCTATTAAACAAACGTCGCCGAGACGACCATTGTCAAGGCTCGAGCCTTGACACACCGCTCACATGGTGAACGAAATGTTTGACGGTCGTCGAACGAAAGAAAGAAATTGAATGGGTGTCTAGAAGAGTTTATGTTATATTTTGTGAATTTTAGATGAAAAATAGATTAATGTTTATTGGAGGGAATTGACAGATAGCTAGTGATGTGTTTGAGTGGATCAGAATGATAGTGTAACCAAAGATTTCGAGTTTTTGAGATGTTTTTGGATTAATTGAATAATTATATTGGTGTTATTGGTAATATTGATTATTGTTGATTATTGCTATTATTAGTAATTACTGTATTAGTATTTGGAAGAAAGGCATGCGTTTGGTTCAGCATGATAGAGGTCAAACTATTGTTTCTGAGTTTTCGAGGAGAAAAGATTTTGGAACACGTTTTTGGATTGATTAAATATTAATATTACAGTGTTATTGATAATATTGACTACTGTTGATTATTCTTATTAAGAGTTGCTATATTAGTATTTGGAAGAATTAGTATTTGAACTTAGAAAAAAGAGGCATATGTCTGGTTTGAATAATAGAGGTCAAACTATTATGTCTGAGTTTTCGAGAGAAAAAAGTTTTGGGAGATGTTCTTGGATTAATTAAATATTAATATTACGGTGCTCTTGATAATATTAATTACTAATATTTGTTTCAAGTATTATCAATTACTATCAATCAATACTATTAATAATTACAATATTAAACGTCTCCGTAAAGTTTGTAGGAGAAGATTGATGTCGTGATTCGCTGATAACGTGTTATCAGAAACGATGAGCAAGTTGCACCAACTGATAGACGAGTGATTTTGTAATAGCCCGTTCGTGGAAACAAACAGTAAGCCAGGGATTTGTGGGAGGACAAGTGCACTACGTACTCATTTTTAAATTCGAAGAAATTTGATATTATTTTTTTTATATACAATTGTGGGTCTAGAATATTTTCTAATTTTGTTTTGGTGACAATTTTGTTCAAATGAAATAATAACTTATTATTTGCATAATTTTCAGTCAGGTATGAGACTGAAGAATTTTTTGTATATTGAAAATATGAAACAGAAGGAACATAGAAACTTAATAATGCTTTCTGCTCCATTGAATTGTAAATAGTGTTATCAATAGTTTTAGCAATTTTACCCATTTTTTAGTAATATTATAATTTCTTGTTTAACTTCTACATGTCATAATTCATCGAAAGAGTAGAATGATAAATAAAAAAGATAAGTAATTAATGAATAATTTGGGATGCGTTTAAATTTTGTTTTGTAATGAGAAAGACTAAACAAAAGTTAATATCGTTTATAAAAGAAAATTCTAAGAAGGATGGTAGCACTAGCTACATAGAAACTATGTAGTGCTGGTGATACCTGAGGATGAATGTTGGAAAATTGTAGGAAGTATTTAACTTTTTCTTGATTCTCAATGATGATGCTGAACCATGAGTCAGGGTTCGGTGAAATGCAACACAGTTGCCAGTGGCGCTTAAAAAGTGACTCACACCACAACCTTGTTACTGGGGCACGTTCCCTCGGTCAAACGCACGATTTGAATCAGAAATTACGGTATTTTATCTAAATGACTCATTTCACTTCCTACCCTAAAACTCAGATTTAAAATAAATAATTCATCAAATTCAAAACCTTCAAATATTCTATCTCATTTGAAATACGCAGATATTTAAATGTAGAACTATCAAATGTTTAAATTGAAAGTTTTCAAATATTCGAACTCAAACTTTTCAATGGTTAAAACTCAATTTAAATAAAAATATTCAAATATTTCAATTCAATCGAGATTAAAACATTCAAATATTTAAATTTCAATCTGAAGAATTAATAACTGTATTATCATTTATATACCTTTGGATTATCTTTTATCCTTTACATATTATTCAATAAAAATACACAGAAATGTAAGAAGACAATATTACCAGCGCAACATCAACGATTATATCCATGCTATTAAACATCGTTAAGGTAGCCCAATTAAGAACAATTAAAGTAATTAATTCATTCGGAGAAGAGACAAAATCAACTGCAATAAAGTATTAAACACAAGAAAAGCTATATTAAGAAATACTCGAAATCGCGTTACCGTAATTCATAACTAAATTTGTATTAAATGTAATTTTATTTTTACTTCGATATTAATAATTCAATTAAACTGTTACAAGAAAAATTTCATTTTATATAAACATTCGCAGGCTATTTATAATCGTTCCTACTAAATGTTGATTAAGAAATACAATTCAAATCTTGTGACGTTAAATGTCTTGCAAAAGAGCAAACAGAAATACACTTCCTATTATTTATCGGTCAATAGAAAGCCACGCAACTTTTTTTCCAGTAGAAAATAGAATCTGAAACGAGACCGAGTAATTCATACCGCAAAAAGAAACATCGAATACATCGATTATCATGAAATCGAGGGAATTACCTCATCGAGAAAGGATCAAGCCTAGACTTCCTCCTGTTACTCCATCTCGTCTTTGGAGAGACGAAATAAAGAACATTTTACGCGCGAAATTCAGCGACTAGAACAACTTGTGACATAAGAATCTCTGACTCGTATCAAACAACTGGTTCTTCGGTAAAGTTGATTAGGAAAACTATAGTAGAATATCTTACGAAAATGAAATATTCACTAATAGGAAATAAAATTTTCCTTCGATCGATAACATTATTCATATTTATTACATTAATAATAAGACTATAATATTCATGAATTAGTAGTATTCAATTAATTAGAATATTTCTATAACAAAAAATATAATCAAAAATAAAAATTCCACAAGTTATATGTATTAAAATGAAGGTTTATATTATACTATTTTATTTTGAATGAATTTTGTCAAAGATTTACTACATTTTCGAAAGGCTTCATTAAAAATTAAATGATTCAAGAATGTATGATGAAGCAACAACCACAGACAAGGCAGAATTATGTTATCGTTCATTTTCACTTCTCGTGACCTGTGACCAGCGCGAACGCTGAAACAGTGTTGGGCGTGAGCGTATGGGTTAACAGAATGACCAGCAAACGATTTCAACGAGCATCCACGGTCGGAAGTGGCGATTCCGATGGTCGCCAATAAAAAACGAAGGTGAACGGAAGAATGATCTAACTATAAAATTGTACACCGCCGATGACGGTATTATTCGAGATGAGACGCGTTTATTGACAGTAATCTTCGCGTGTCCAGAGGCATCATGATTCTCTGTATTTCCTAGTACCGTTGTGTATCATCACGTTCACTCTGTGTAGTATAATTTTTATCCGGTAAAATTGTAATCTTTATGGGTCTGCATATACTGGTGTTTGCTAGTAGACGATGGAAAACGATTGAAGGAAAAGAATGCATATCGCGAGATTTCGATTCGAAGAAGTTACTTAGAAAAACGAATTAGGAGATTGAGTGATACTGAAGCTTTGATATATAAAGAGACTAACAGGCAATGGGCACGAATTGAAGAAAAATTGGAATCTATGTTGCAAAATTTCAATTTGAACGGGTCATTTAGAAAAATAGTACAAAAAGAATGATTACAATGCAAAATTATAATCTAGGTAGAAACTAAGGAATTAAGGTATTAAGGAACTAAGGAACTAAGGAACTAAGGAACTAAGGAACTAAGGAACTAAGGAACTAAAGAACTAAGGAATTAAGGAACTAAGGAACTAAGGGACTAAGGAACTAAAAAACGAAGAAGCTAAGAAGGTAAGAAACTAAGAAGCTAAGAAGCTAAGAAGCTAAGAAGCTAAGAAGCTAAGAAGCTAAGAAGCTAAGAAGCTAAGAAGCTGAGAAGCTGAGAAGCTGAGAAGCTGAGAAGCTAAGAAACTAAAAAACTGAGAAACTGAGAAACTGAGAAACTAAGTAGCCATGGAACAATAGATTCCAATTAGCAAAAAAATGTAATTCGTATTAAAAAATTCTAATCTGAAGAGATAGCGTAGAAAATAATCACAAGATAAAACTATTACAGTAAAAAATTATAATATGTACATACACTAAAGGACAATAGACACTAGCTGAAAAAAATAAATAACTAAAAATGCACGTCAAAAGATTTTTATCTGGAAGGATCGTTTAAAAAAACCACGTAACGCAGTGATTACAACGAACAATTATGATTTACATAGACACCAACGAACAATAGACATCGATTAGCAAGAAAAGAAGACGTGTTGTAAGATTTGAAGAAACTGATTCAACAAAAAAATTATATCACGCGACCGAGTGATTTCAGTGTGTTGCAAGAGAGAAGGAAAGTCTGTCTTCGTTTAAACCTAAAATCAGATGACGAAAAAGAAAGAGTTTCACCGTGATCACGAAACACGAGTGTGCAATCAGAAATTCGCTTGTGACTTAATGAATGAAATGATAATTAAAACCTGGATGTTATATTATCTAACTATATTATCATTCTTATTATTAATATCATTATTATCTAGATATAATATATTTCAAAATGCAGATTACCAGGATACAATGTTCTAAAATTATATTTAGCCATTTAGATTTTCATGAAACCGCAATTTCAAAGGTTAATTCGGGGATAGATGGGGCGTGCTGGTGATTTTGATTCGAAAGTAACTGTAAATGCATCAAATTGCGCCAGTTTAGATCCCGAGATTACGAGGTATCGATCTCCCAGTTTTACCGCACGCTCTGTTTTCCATCCGCGATCCACCGTGCACGTGTGCACTGTGTTGTATCGCTGCATATGCATCAACGTACAACTCGAACGCATGTATGCATAATATGCGGAACGCGTTGCGGCTTTAAGTCTTCTGCACACTTGAAAATCATAGAATCGTCGGTCTAATGGGATTAAATCACACGTATGCGTTTCGAATAGTAAGAGGCATCACTGCATTTTCTTTTTAACTTCCTGTTGACATTTGTATCGAATGCGACTCGAAATGAATGGATTCTTTTTCATTAAAATATTACGAAGTGTATCCTAAAAACCACGGTTCAATATAGTTTCGTTGCAATTTAATTTAGAAATTGAAAATGTGCGATAAATAAACATTAAATTGAGATATCTTAAATCAAATTAATTTAATTGAAACGAATTGAATTTATTTCATTGAAAAATCTTAGATATAAATATAAATATAGATATAAAAATTTTAAATATTATCCATATTATCTTCCTAACTTTGAAAGCAATCTTCCTTTTGTTATTGCATATATTTTTCAAGATCACAAATTGAACTTTTAATTCATGAAACTACGATTCAACGTTTGATCTATAATATGCACGTGATTTCGTTCACGGTTTAATACGAAAATATTAATTCGAACTCGATCAAGCGTATAACTGACCTCAACCATATCACGTGAAGACAAGCGAGTGCTATATGTGTGGTGCGGTCACGCGAGTGGGAGTAGCAAGCTTATTAATACTTGTTTGCGTGAAAATTGTAGCGTTAGAGGAACTCTCGTAAAGATCTTCTTGCATTCGTTTAAAAGATGCTCAGATGGGACGCATATCTCAAGAACATTTACATACGTACGTCTTTAAGGAAGCATGTTTTTTTTCTAACTTATTACTGCACCGCAGTTGTTCGTGCAAATTTACATATTCATAATTAAATTTTATGAGTACGAGGAAAATAGGATTCTATTCCCAGTATTAACAGTTTCAGAGACTTGAAAAGCTGTAAAATTCCGGGGAAGACTGAATTTTAATATTTGAACGATTGTATACATCAGAAAAGTAATCTTCAAAAAAGTTTCAAAATCCAAATAAACCTCCAACAAAGCATTCTGATAAATTTTGAGAATTAGTATTAATGTTCCTAATCTGTCTATAATCATTATTATTTGCAATTCTCAAATATGCATACTAAAAGCAATACTGTGATTAACATTCACGTGCTAATTACAAATAAAATGCTGGGAAATTTTTGATAGCTATATATTATTCTCTTCGAACGTGTATTCCAGAAAAAAGAATTCTCTTAATTGATATCCCACTTACTGTAAACAATTACGAATTGACAGTAATTGGTTCGTTCTGAGTAAAATTATTTTTTAATTAATTACTAATTAATATAAATTCACCTAAGTTACATATAAAAGTTCGGTTGTATAAAATTAGTAATTATAAACTAATATTAATTCCATTAAAAATTATTATTCATTATAATTTTCTTTTGTAATTTCTCACTACTGCTTGCAAATAATTTACGAGGATGAATTATTTTATTTTCCAGGCGATTTCGACGAAGAAACGTACAAACTGATGGCGCTACCAAGGTGCGGTGTCAAAGACAAAGTTGGCCCGGGATTCGGACGATCGAAGCGGTACGCTCTCCAAGGTAATCGAAAATGAAATGAAATAAAGTTACAACGAAATCTACCTGTCAGGTTTCTGCTGGTCGAAATCAGCATGACATAACGCTCGATCGATTATCTAATCGATCAGAGCTGTTACGTACTCGCGACGACTAGAAAAAGAAGCTAATCATTTATCAGGCCACTCTCGTTTCACATCCGATCTCATTAAAGCGTACTTAACGGTTCACACGATAAAAAGAATTGCAAAAATTTCGTAACAACCGAAACTCTCGTGATTGAAACGATTCGTTCTTTAATTAGCATTCATTAGAGATTTAATCAATGCAACTCTAATCAATTAAATACCAATAATCCTATAATATTTAAAATTTGTAATTTATTTCAAATAATACCTTTAAAAAATCGAATCAAATTAAAATTGAATTAAAAATAACAATTATTGAATTGAAAGAGAAGTTTGTTGATTTTTGTCTAATTGTGTTTCCAAACAGTAATATATTAAAAGTATCATTTATTGTGATGTCATTCGTTGTTTGATTACTCTTAATAGACAATACATTAATCCCGTTACTTTTGTTAGCTTTGTTATTTGAATTTTCTTAATTTGTCCTGTTACTGTTACTAGAATGTTTGAATTTATAAAAATGCATAGCGTTTAATGGTCGAGTATTACAGTGAACTGTTTTCATAGTGGAAAACTGTTTAGCAGTACAGTGTTACTCTTAACTTCCTGCCTCATTATCGTCAGCATAGAATCAGTCACCCTAAACAGGTCATGCGCATCTGTATTGCAGCTATTCTCGCTGGATGCTCCGAATGCATTTTTTAACCGTCTAAATCGCTCTAAATGCATCTCTTCACGACCTAATGAGACCGTTGCATCGGCGAACCGATATTTATCTATGCATTACTTGAAACTTCAATTTCTATCGGTTTCACTACCTACAAAACTCTTTGTAACAAAATAATGTTCAAAAATATCCAAAGTAGACTGTAAATCATAGAGTGCAAATACTTATAATAATTCCTACTCATCATAGACTATTTCATAACATCTTAGATCTTTTATAAATCCCACTAAGTAATTACAAAAATTATTCTCAGTTCTAATCTAATAACATTATATATATTATATGATTGTAGTTCCTACAAATTTTATAACAATTCTACTTGTCTTCCCCGACCTTATTACATTTCATTATTAATCAATAATAACACACTAATGCTATATAATGATATAATTATATACATTATAATTCACCATTAATCACTAATTAATAACAACAGTTATATTATTAATAATCTCATTATTAACACCATTACCTTCATTCAATCCCTTTCAACTTATCAACCGATTAACGTCCCATCAATTCAATCAACAAATATAAACTACTGTTCTAATATATACTTCAAAACACAAAAGTTTCCATTGTATTAGAAACAATTCCCTACAACTTTCTTCCCCAGAAGTCACGCCAATTATCCTTTGACCGCGGGTGACGCCAATTAGCCGCCATAGTAAACGCGCGAACTTCCCGTAACGACGGCGTCTAATTAATCACGTTCTTTGTCTTCCCGGGAAGCGATTCATTGGTGCTCGACACGTTCCAAAAACCGAACGATTCCGTCGACGAAGTGATCCTCGGGTCTAACCGTGACTTTGAACCTCGCGCGCGGACATTCCTCGTTTCCAGTGAACCCGCGGCGACGGAATTGCCGATGCGTGAATCCGACGGAATTCTGTGCGCATAATAGCGGAGGATCGGCTCGTGACCCACTATCTTCTAGGATCGCTGAGCGATCGAAACGAAACATTAATCTCTTAACCCTTTGCACTCGAAAGGCGACTCTTAGTCGTTATACGAGTTAATGCCGCAGGAATTATATTCGATAGTAGTAATTATTATTTATCAATCATAGAAAATATATATAATATAAACATAAAAAATATATCTTCCTATATTTCCTATGTTACAGCAAAATTAAAAGAGAATATTAAATTCTCTTCGAGTTATCCATTTATTTCACATCATTTCGAATTTTTCTAGCAAAATTCAAAATCTAGATGAGATATATCCCCCATTCACATAAATAGCACATACTGTTAATTTGAATGTAAACCGTCAGTCACCGAACAATTAACACACATACGTGAAAATTCCGTATTGGTCCACGTTACACATTTCCGAACTCTTAGGCACATTCCGAATGAAATACGACCAATTATCATGATTTCCGACTGGCTACCGGTTCCACCGGTTAGCTTCTGTATTGAAAAAGAAACAGAATGGCGAAAGTGCGAATTTATTTTCAACACTAACAGGCCAGTAATTATTTAGTTTGAATGGTCCCGAAATAGTTCGGTGCACGTTTCAGTGAGCACAAACAGGCTAAAAAAGGATCTAAGCTTCGCCGCTCGTACGCGTTTCTCAATTTTAATAACGGCGACACTAATCACGTTTGACCTTGATCAGTGGAACCTTGCTGGTTCTGTCGTTTCAACGGCGGATAATAGATTCTTGTCGCGATGACGGGGCAATCTGCTCGAATCTACTCTCCGCGACGAGCATCGATGATTTTTATATCGCAAAGAAGCAGCTGGATTGTTTGAAAATGAACGTGTGCACGAGGATGATTGAAGAGGTCGTTTGTAACACTCTCTTCTGAATAAATCATCACAGGATAAAATAACGTGCACGCTGAATTTAGAATTATTGAAGATGTATGTGAACAATTGGAGAATTCATTGAAACAACATATTTTCTGCCGAATTTCTATCGAGTTTCATTAGAATTCAGTAAATTGCAGTTTTAGAATGATTATTGACTACCGTGAAATAAAGTAATGTATTTATTGAGAAATGCGTTTACTTAACATTTTGACTACAAAGTGAACACTCGTCATGCAGTCGAAACAATTTTCTTAATTGAGCTGGAACTAAAAGGTCAAGATTCCTCATGATAATTGCTCTACTATCTTTCTTATATCGAGAAAATTAATGTTCAAGTTTATGTAAAAAATGGTGTCACCCGAATTTAAGTGACGTGGCAGTTAAAGTGTTAAAATTCAAGATATACTTGTCCTGGTACCTATTAACTTTTAATTGATGGCCCTTTAATTTCCATTGAAAAATTCATTCATTTTCTGTCACCTCTTGATTTTTCTAATGTAGAAGATCGTTTATCTTTCATAGTGGAAGTCAATATTATTGGTTTATCTTATTTTCATGTTATTAAGGAACATACATAATAAATTTCCACAATAATCACACGATGAACAAATCAGTGAAGTACGCGTTAAGCTAAAAAATCCCTTGAACACAGTAAATTGTAAAAATGGAAGAAACAATGAAACCGATTATAAAAATATCGAAGCAAAGTATATACAAAGGTTGTCAGAACCGTGGACAAAGGCGTGATTATATTTTTACTCGGAACCGGCGTAAATATTTTCCCCGCTTTTTTTTTAATATACGTCACCGTATCTGCGCAGGGTCGAGATGGCGCGTGAAAAAGCTAACTTACAAGATCAGCAAGTACCCACGAAATCTGCCGCAACAGAAAGTCGACGTGGAGCTGAACAAAGCGTTCAAAGTTTGGTCGGAGTACACCGATCTCGTCTTCATTCAGAAGAAATCTGGACAGGTGAATAAAACAAAATATAGTAACCTACTCTAACAATAAGCTAATCCCTACACGGCATTACAAAGAGGCTTAATAATGGTCTTTTAACTGATAATATCAAACAAATAATTATTAGCAAAAATTAAATTATATGAAAATACTCGTTGATTTGCGATTCTAATTTTTCTTTCTATTAGAAGATTTGTTAAAGAGACCTTAACTGCTAATCGTTGATTTTTAAAAGACCTATTAAGTAATGGTAAAATAGATGTATGCCATTGTTGTAAAATAGTAAATTAGAAGATTAATATTAGTTAGAAATGGAACAACGGGTGAATAATATTTATATTAAATGGTAAAACAAATAAATTGTATTATTGTGAAATGGTAGGATAAGTAAATAAGATATCTGAGAAACGGTAAAATAGGTAAATGAAATTACTGTGAAATGGTAAAACATGCAAACAATATTGATGTGAAGTGGAAAATAATTTTCCAATGAATTCTAGGTACACATCGAGATTAGATTCGAAAAGGGCGAGCACGGTGACGGAGATCCTTTCGATGGCCCCGGTGGCACTTTGGCCCACGCTTACTTCCCCGTGTACGGTGGCGATGCCCATTTCGACGACGCGGAACAATGGACCATCGACAGTTATCGCGGCACGAATCTATTCCAAGTTGCAGCTCACGAATTCGGCCATTCTCTCGGTTTGAGTCACAGCGACGTGAAATCGGCCCTAATGGCACCCTTTTATCGAGGCTACGAGCCCTACTTCCGATTGGACGATGACGATATTCAGGGTATTCAGGTAAACATAAAAAAAATGTTAAAAAAGACTTAATTTCCAATGTCTGATTTTTAACGTTAATCAATTTCTCAATATAAACAAAAAAACTACTGTTAATCTTTGTTGTTTAACTGCTCATGCAACTCAGGGTTCGAAGAAATAGAAGAAATAATTTGTATAAATAGAAAGTCATTAATCTTTTAGCTCCTGATTAACTATGCTTAATAGAAAGAAAATACGTTTTGTACTTTAGAAGATTTTTTATAAGATGCAATTATTAAAATATCCAATATGTAATACATATGTAATATACTCGTGAAATAAAATATTCAGACTCTATACGGAAAGAAGACCACGAATACCGTTGGAACCCCAACTGGACCTAAATTCGGCACCACAACCTCAACACCGGTCAGCGAAGAGGACTCTGAACTTTGTACTGACCCGAAAGTGGACACTATGTTCAATTCCGCGGAGGGACACATATACGTGTTCAAGGGTACGTATTACTCACTCGAAAAATATTTATTCCACTTTAAGGTTTGGGAACAAAAGAGAAGAAAACGCATAAAAATAAGAAAAATGATTTTGACAAAGTTAATGTTATTTTAACAGAAAATTTAGACTTCAAGAGAATTCTTCATTTAAGAATCATATATAAATTTATTTTTTAAATATTTTCTGGAATTATCTTTTCCAGTAATTGCATGAACACAGAAGTCTAATGATCAAATGTTTTCTTTATGTGTAAATTCCAAGTGTTTTATCTAATGAATTTCTTTTAAAATATTTTCTAAGATTATTCTTTGGAATAAGATATAAGTGAATGAAAATAGAAGTCTAATAATGAATTGTACCTACAAAAACCAACATTTTCTTTTTTTATTTTCTGCGTATGAAGTCTAAGTATTTTATCGAATTACAGGTGAGCGTTACTGGAGATTAACTGCGGATGGCGTCGCAGTCGGATATCCCAAACTGATTTCCAACTCATGGAAAGGTCTACCAGGAAACATTGACGCCGCGTTTACATATAAAAATGGAAAGACTTACTTCTTCAAGGTGAGTAAACACTTTGTTATGTCACGTTAATATTATACAATATATCAATTAAAATACTAAATATAGAATCATAACAATTAAAAGACTTCAATGTTCCAAACAAATTTCTTAATACTCAACACTCCAACACATCATTCAACCACACAAATTAAACCAATTATTCAATTTCCTGGCTAGAAATCTTCACCTACCACCATTCATCAGTATTCATTTTGAACACAGAGTGTTTCAAACTTTGCTACCAATCAGAAAAAGCAAATTACCTTACCATTAGACTTTCAAATCATCATCTTCTTCCAATAATTGTCAATAAGCAGTATTTTACTGATAACTCTTTGGATCACATTGATTTCATATGTATATCTATACCAAGAATAAAATTCAACTGTCTTCTAAATTTAGAAGGCCAGTAACAATAAAGAATTTCATGGCTACAGGGCTCGAAATATTGGAGATACGTGGGCAAGAGAATGGACGGTGATTACCCGAAGGAAATCAGCGAAGGTTTCACTGGCATCCCGGACAATATCGACACCGTAACCGTGTGGACCGGAAACGGCAAGATCTACTTCTATAAGGGCAGCAAGTTCTGGAGGTTCGATCCCGCACAGAAACCACCGGTGAAGAACACATATCCTAAACTGATCTCAAACTGGGAGGGTCTTCCTGACAACTTAGACGCATCGATCGTCTATCGTGGTTACACGTACTTCTTCAAAGGTGACGCCTACTACCGATTCCAGGACAGGTCGTTCAGCGTTAGTATTTCATCAGTATTTCTTAATACAATTTGTTTCCTTGGTCTGTTCTATAAAACTGATCTATCAAAGATTGTTAAATTATAGAAATATAGTTTCTATAAAACATTTATATATATTAGACTCTGTGAAAAAAATCATTGTGAACTATATAATTGTCAAAGGATTGGTTCAATCAATGTTTTCATTAACAGTTTAAAAAAGGTATTTAGTTTATAATAGAAATAATTTGCTAGACCTGAATATTAAAAATCAGGTCATAATACAAGCAAGACTGAAGTAGATCAAATAGAAGCGTATCATCCATTGTCGGACACGTGTCTTGATCAAGATCAATATTTCAATACCATTCCTGTATTAATCAGTAAAATCCAATTATTCATAAAACATTCCAATTTTTTTAAAATAAGAATATTTTCTAATCACAATATTTTAATATTGCCAAATTTATTGGAAAAACTTGGAAACGTTGACACAAGTTCCACACATGTGTGCTTTATTATATACTGTAGTTATAATGTGTACTATTTAGAATTAAAAAATTGAGTTACTGTACCTTACACAAAATCCTCAGGTGGACGTTGCTGATCCAGCGTTCCCAAGATCGACGGCCTACTGGTGGTTCGGGTGCAGGTCCGCCAACAAAGGAACATTAGGTAATGTCCAATGGCTGCGTGAAAATCCTGAGGACACTTTTTCACATTCTGGCTTTCTGGAGACCGGCGGCGGTGACTTTTACAACGGCGATGACGACGGTTACGGGGACGTGGGAGACATTATTCTAGACGCAGGTACTAAAGCTTCACTCGAGTTAGACCAGATTCTCAGCTCGCCATAGAAGTTTCACTATCCACACCTTTATATTTGAGAATTGTATCAACAACGAGACAAATTTAAAAACCATATTTGGAAGGAAGTATTGAAATACCTAGTCTTGAATGACACAATTGATAGTTGAAATTGATAAAAGTATGTAACACTTTAACAATCTTTGATCAACTCAAAGTCTATAAAAACATATTTATAATTTTAAATATTTTTATACGTAATGACAGTTTTTATGACTACCTCAGAAACTTATGACTATCTTAGAAATCATTTGAATTTTAGCCTTATTGATCTATGTGATCGATTGCCTAATTAGTCACTTTATGAAAGTATTAGTAGAATTTTCTATTAGAGATATTTACTGTTTCTTACCATTTGAATATACAGATAGGTAAACAAGTTTTAGTGTTTAGAAGCAGTGGATAGTTGAAACTTCAAACTTATTCAACCTCTGTAAAAAGGCTTACAGTGGCAATAAGTGAGGTATAACTGTAGAAAAAGGCGAGGGTACAGTATTTGGTGTTTTGAACACCTGGCTATTACATACCTAGGGCTTTCAGACATTGAAGAAGTTTGTGCATATACTGAAATAACAATTCTAGAAAATATAATTTGCAACCAACCTCACAATGAAACAGATTCTCATCAAAATAACAGAGAACAAAGATTGTATTCGAGAATAATGTGTTAGATATCTGTAGATGTGTCAGATATTTGAAGTACAATAGACGACGGCTTTATATGGCGTCGCGATTGTTACTTAACAACAGTTCCTCGTTCAAAAAGTCCATTTTTATCGCAGTTTCAATTATGATGCAACCATTATAAAAATAAAAATAAATTGCCTCCCGACCTTCATATTGAATAGGCAAACGTAGATTAATTTCTTTCTTGCTTATTTCAGTCGATCATTAATTGCACGATGATCATACAGTTTGCACAAACTTGTTTAATGACAGAAAAATCAAAAAATGCGGTAATCAAGTAATTTTGGTGTTAATTGGTGATGGTGTTAACATTAAAATTAAACTGATCGAATTACAGGATCCTGACATAGAATCATTAATATCATGATACACATCATTTGATTCATCTACTAACAAATTCATGAATTTGCTTTCATAAAACATCATCCCTTTGTTTTTGTTTATTTCCTATGGAATTACATCTGCAAATCGGCGGTAATACAGGTAAAATATTATTGTCAAATTGTTACTAATGAACTCAGGTAATTATGTTGCTTCATGTTCGTGAATATCGATGCCATAATGGACAAAAAAATTATAATTGATTTAATGTTTAACATTTGCCGTGAATTTTCCGGACCGCGATCATTATTCCGGTAAATTCAATCACTGTGTTTCCACCGATATGCAAAATTATCGTTTTACCTGTCCAACTTCATTAACGTTAGGGCGACTTCCGTTTTTCTCAAAATAGAGCCACTTTTAATTAATTTGAATAAAAATCGTCGATATTATTCTATACATCAAATACATTACAACAAAATAAATTAAATTCCCTAATTGTTATTAAAAAATTCCCGACAAAACAGCGATACCGGAAGTCCTCCTACCACCACCCGCAATATCAGACTCCCAAACGAAACCCTCGAATTAGAATATCATTTCGCGAACACTGAATTCCGAAATATCTCGAAGCCCAAAGTATTTATTAGCCAGGCGGCACATGAAGCTTTACGTTCCCGATAAAAAAAGAAAAGTCATAACATTTAAAAACCAAAGAATAATAGTTGAATTCAAAATGCCGGCCACGAGAAGAGGGATAACCGTGAACTATCGAAGTCACCGTCACCAGGCCCAGTTCGCTGAAAAAAAGAACAGTAAATATTATAATGTTAAGCTTTCCCTGTCTATCATCTATACCATTTATTATTTTTCACATGTTCGCTTGTTCATGAAAATTGCATTCAACCGAAGTCTATTTACTTACGGTATTTCCGTGTTCTTCTCCTATCTTCATTGTTTTCTCTCTGGCCTTGTTCTCTACTGTGTTCTTCTGGCTGTTCCGTGTGCCGTACATCCTCATTCCGATTCAAAACGAATCGACTCCCAAACGTCACCGGTCCTAACATTCATTTACCAAGTGGTGTTATCACGCTACCTTTCGCACCGTACACGCTTCTTGTTTACTAACACTGTAGTTCGTCTTGCTTAGAAAATGAGATATTATTTTGCACGCCTTATAAAAACAATAATAATAAATAAACCAACTTTGTATTTCACTAACAGCTTCAAAGCAAAATAATATTTCCACCTATATTTTTAAAATATCAGGCTTGTCCAAGATCCGCTCTGAGAATCATTTATCAGAACTACTTTGTTCCTCTATTCAAAGTTTTCCAAGTTTAAAAGTTTAAAACGAAGAGAGAAAGCATTATGAGCTCAATCTATGGACAGACTTGTAACAGATGAAGTTAGAATAATTTATATTCACTGATAGTTTTGCACGACATTTCTGCATA